ACCTGAGAGGCCAGGTTGCAACACATTATTCACTCATTGTGCAAGCTCTGTAGGCAGCTTATGTATTGACAGGCTGAGATAGTGCACTATAGTCTGAAGGGTGAAGGGTTGCCTAATGTAGCTAACCCAGCAGTGGAAACAGGGAATAAAATATGGGCAGTAGGGTCACCACTGAAGCTGAAGCTTTTCTTCATCACTCTGCCTGTTACTTATGTGATGTCCTGCTGATCCCCAAAAGCCAAGACAACCAACACTTTCCTGGGCTTTAGCTATAATGTATTACAATGTGAAGAAATTAGATAAAGTTCACATGTCACTATTCAAGAACCACAAACCACAGATAAATAATCTTTCAGATGTGACATGTGTTTGTATTTGCCCCTCTTAACTCAGACAATCAATAAACTGCCTTCAGAGAGACCCCTAGTTGTTAAATAGAGTCCACTTGTTTTCATTGCAGTTCAGCTGTTCTACTGCTCCCAGTCTTTGGACGTCTTAGCTCATCTTCCAAAAATTACAAGATCATGACAAGGAGAGGATCAGTTGAAAAGCCCATGGTAACTGGGAGAGGTCAGATGGAAGAAGAAACTGTGGCCTAGTGAGAAAAGTATTAAATGATTGGCCTGCATGCAAAGCAGAACATTAATAGTGAACATCATCCTGAATACAATGTACCCATAGTGAAACATGATAATGGCTGCGTAATGCTAACTACAGGACAACCTGGAAAATCTTTCAGAGGCTGGAAGAACCATTAAATCAGACTGGAGTTTCGCCTACAGCAGGACAATAATCCTAAAATGTCAGAGGTGCAGTGGAACAGTTACGATCAAACATATCTGAGTTAGAATGGTCTAGTCAAACCCCAAACTTAAATCCATTAGAGAAGACGTGCCAAGACAAAAAAATAACAAATCAATAAATGGTTTGCATCTCTAACTGCAAAAAAATTTGATTCTACAAAGTATTGAGTTGATGATTCTGACTTCTAATCCGTTCCAAAGTTTTGAAAAACAAATTGGGAAATCATGTCTTTTTTTCCCTTCCAATTCACAATAACGTACTATCTTATCACTACAAAATAATCAAAAGGAAATACACAGAGATTCGTGGTTGTAACCTGACAAAATGTAAGGGATTTAGAAGAATATCAGAATCTTTGCAGTACACTAGAATTGTAATAACTTTTTGATCATTCAGATATCTTAAGAAATTGTTATTTTGTTCCAATTTCTGCATAAAACCCTCCCTGTCACAAACAATCCTCCCACACAGCTGGGCAATTTACAGAAAAACTATCAGGTTAAGTGGTGTTGTAGTCAAAGAGTTTTACAGCAACCACATCCCGTTGCAGGGGCCAATAACGCTCCTCTGTTTCCAGACATATAGGCTAAACTTTGGTTAAACCAAAGTACACTGGACTGGTGGTAGAGAGGATGCAACCACAGCAGGATGAGGTTTAGGTTCAATGCTGAACACAGTGGGGAGGAAATCCTCTTTGAGGCTTGGTTATTCTCCTAAATCCCAAATTTGGGACTGTCAGACAAACTTTCCAGCTTCTACAGGGAAGACAGATTGTCAAAATAGAGGAGTTTTCTATACCTTCTCATTGAATATAATTCATCTGTATTCCTAAGATCAGTCATCACCAAGAGAACTTGCAAGAGCTTAAAAAAGCATGGCAACCACCAAAGTAATTCAGTAATCTTTCCTTTTTTTGTTGGCAGACCAGACTTCACATCCCTTTCTGCTGACAGCAATTTTGACCAACTTGGGAGTATAACTAGGATGCGGGCCGCAGTGAAACACAATCCTGGAGACAGAAACTCAAACAGGACTCTGCTCTGTTTCTGATCAAAGTGACATGCAACATTTGGTTTTACTGTTCATGTCTTTTGGAAACCCTATAAGCCAATGTTAAGACACAGTAGAGGTGGGCACAATGTTAAGGGAATGAAGAAAGGTTTAGGTCAAAAAATCACAACACACGTCTCCTTTAGTTTCTAAAACAAACTCCAAACATTTCAATGTTCTATTGCATCAATTGTTTTTTTTCTATATTTGAAGACCTTTGTTCACAGCTCACAGCCAACCTGTGCTTTGGAGTACCAATGAGATTCTACCCTATTGCTACTGGTCTCACACAGTCCAGCAATGTATCAGATTGTCATATGTGCAAGAAAGTGAGTGTATACGTCTGTGTGTTAATCAGGAATTACGTGTTATCTCTTGGAAAGAAAAGATGAATGGAAAATTTGAAGGTGTGAATGAAGACAGTAAGAGATTTCTGAAAGAAAATTAAACCCAGATGTCTTTCTATCCATGTTCTTTACTTTTGCCAGAAATAATTTCAGAAAGAAATAAATCCTGTGAAATAAGCTTACTGATATTTGAAGATTATGTTGATGTACTTTTTGCTGTTTCCGCTGTCTCCAGTTATTTTAGAGACTATAAATAAAAAAGAAAGGGTTTTTCTTTTTTCTTTCTTTTTTTTTTTACTTTACAAGTGCACACTGAGGGAATGAGCTCTAAAAATAAAACATATGTTCCTCCAGGTCTGCGGAAGCAGGGGCCCCATGCGTATTGTTTTGGGATATGGTGGGAGGACAGGGAGGATCTGGCCTGGAGAGAGATTTTGCAGAGACAGAAAGCATCTGGTGCACTCTTAACAGGAGTGCATGAAAAATATCTCCTGTAAACTGTTCTGTGCAAAACTATTTCCAGTATACTATAAACAAACGCAAGTCAGACCATTTTCTGTCATTAAATCAGTGAAAGAACATATTTGTGTGACTTGCTTCTGGATGAGATGGGGCGTTGATCTACAAACGTTTTTGTCATCTAAACACAAATTAAATATAAGAGTAATCATTTAACTGTGGAGCATTTGCCAGCAGCTGAGAAAGCTTCCTGTTGAGGAATATGTAAAAATCAGCTGACTGTGAGAGGTGTGAAACTCTGTGCATAGAGCCGGGAGGAGAAAGGAATGGATATCGTTGCTGCTGGAGTTAAGGCTAACACACTTACACACTTACTCTTACAGCTGTATCAGCTGTAAGAATTAGTTAGCACAAACTCTTAGTTAGCACAATAATGAAACTTGATCTAGATTTCACAAGTAGAATATGAAATCAAGTAGACATTTTTTTTTCTGTGGAGCACTTGATACTTTATTTCAGACTCCCACTAGTTTTAGTGGGATCCATCACAGTGGTGTGGAATCCAGTTGGATACAATACCAACCATCAGCTACTGCAATGCCCTCCTGGTCTCCTGGTTGTGAAACCTCTGTTGATGGTTTAAGAAACAAAAAGGCATCTGGTCTTCATTCTCCCTAAAAGAGAAGCTAAAATAGCTCCTTTTAGCTCCTCTGGCTTTCCTTAGTCACCTGCAGCAAATTCAAGTCACTTTAGCCTGTAAGGTGATTAATGCTCCTGTCTTCTTGAATGCTCTGACAAAAGCTTATGTCACGACTGAGTCAAGGGATGGTTGGCTACCAGTGAGTGCACCACAATCTAGACTCTGTCATGTGACGGTCCAAAGTGGTGGAATGATCCACTGAGGCCTACTACAATACAGCCATGTCTCGCTGTCTATTTTCAAGAAATTTGAGTACAAAGCTTTTCAGAGAGTACAGAATATTCTACGTCGCACTCTACGCACTCCCACGGCACTCCCACTGCACTCCCTTTGTACACTTCTTTGTATGCCTGCACTCTACTTCTCCACTGTTACCTCTGACATGGCCTGACCAGTGGTCTTCTTTCTCATAACTTCATTGGTATTTCCTTATTTGAAAGTTGCTTTGGATAAAAGTTATGGCAACAGAGTAAATACTTGCAATACAGTTCCGTAAACTATTCATGTTTTACTTAAAATGTCAAGAAGTCTTTTCTTGGTCAAGGGTCCTCAAGGTGAGTAGTGGTATTCTCTTTTTTTCTGGAGGGGCCAAAATAATTTTCTATATTTTTTACATTATATGTTGAAAATAGTCTATAGGTGTATATTTTTTTAGGTCAAATCACTTTGTCTCTGTTCCCTTTGTCTATCTTTAAATCTGTGAAAAGTAAGAAAAAAATGGAACGCACCAGCACACAAGAAAGAAATTTAAAATTAAGTTTGAAAAATCAGTGATTCAATAACAAGAAAGATCCTTCCCCAGTATCAGCTAAGAAAGTTCTATTGTTCATCTGCTTTTTTTTCTTTGTTTGTTTTGGGGGAGGGATAGGGTTTGGTTGGCATAGCATTCTTTTCCCGTCTACCTTAGAATAAGGAAACCAGGCAGCTGAAAGGATCTGAATTGTTTTGACAAGGGCAGAATCATCCCTTCATCGTCTACAAACGATCATGGATGCACACATTGACACCTAAAGGTAATTGAGACAAAACAATTTGGTCGGTGGAGTACCCAGAGAGAATCCATGCATGCACCGAGAGAACATGCAGGATCGCTAGCGTTTGAACCAACAGAGTGACCAACTAGTTATCTTGGTAGCACAAAAACAAACTATTAAAATAAGCTTTAAGTAAAGCAGAGAACATTTGATAAAGTTTTAAAAATAAATGACCAAAAATAGGAGGAGGTTTATAATTTTTACCCAATATAAAGGATTTTATAAGTGCACTCAATAAAACACTGCATCACTTATGAGAGATAAGAAAATATTCAAACTAATCCCAATCTGCATTTTTCAAATGCTGATTTACTTTTAAATTGCGGAGACTATTTCAATTATAATCTAACACTGTCTGATTTATAAACAAATGCCAAAGGATCAGATTCAACCAAAGCTAAATCGCTAGATAATAAGAGAAAGATCTTGCGTTAACACTGTGTTAACACTAGCGATAACGAGGAATTCTTGGTCATTTTTTTTCCCCGGAAAAGAAAAAATAAAATCGTTTCTGACGCTGTCATGACTCGTGGAGGTGTGGCTTTGCGGGGAGTGTCTCTGCTCAGCCAGTCGTACGCCAGAGCTGAGGTCAGTGGGCGTGGCCTCTGTCTCCACATCATCCTGACCCAGCTGCTGCACGCTTTTGTTCAAACTCTGAAGTCAGTCAGTGTGGAGCAGAGGTGCTCCTTCAAGCCTCTTAACTAATGTGCGTAGAAGATGCTGAGGAAGACGTTACAGCTTAAAGTTACAGCAGCGCCGGAGGAGGAATATTAGTGATCGTTTTTACTTTTGTTTTGTTTCGAACGTATGAAGTTTGAAGAGTGCCTTGGATAAAACAGCTGGAATCGTGAAGGAAGCTGGTTGGTTTCCCTCAAATCACTTCTCTGTTGGACTATGACAGCTAAAATACACAGACTCTAAAGATTTTTTTTCTTTTTGTTGGCCAAAAAAAGGGGGGGTGGGGGAGATTAGGCTTATATGCTTAACCCCCAACTTCTTCGCTGGATCTCTATGGAGAGCATACGCCGTCTGCTCTCACGCAACCCCTGGAGTCGTGAACGTTGAATCCACCGACTTGGAGAGCGGAAAACGACACATTTAACCGCATTTGAATGCCTGTGCAAGGAGTTTGCTGGTTTTTGTGCTGCAGGCAGGGCTTCAGTTTGCTGGGACGGGACTATGGGGAGAAAGAGGAGGAAGAGTCGTTTGAGTTGCGCAACAAGGAGGACTTGACTCCCAATGGAAGGGTAAAAAAAAAAAAAAAAAAAACACCACCCGCTCTTTTAATACTAAATGTGCATGAGTGATGAACACTTTTTATTGCTTGTTATTTCTGGCACTTAGAGATATTTGAACTTATTAGCCGGCTGGAAATTTATTATTCTTATAAAATTTACTGGAATTTTAAAGTGTGATAAGACATTTAGCTTTTTGTCTTTATATTATCACATGTGTTGGCACTTCCAGGGAGCCCAGACTCATTATTTTTATCCAACTTAATTTTTAATAAAAATGACAAAGCATTTTCAGAAAAAAGATATAAATTGTTGCTAGTTTGTGTGTCCAATCAGTGTATTTTTGGTACATAGGTACATGTCATGAGGTGGTTACTAGTATCTGTCACTGTTCTTGTGTCTTTTGAGATTATAGAAAAAGAAGCCTTGTGCATACAGTAAAGTTCTCCTCCCCCGCTTATTTGCTGAGCTCTGCTTGTCAGCTGGCTAAAAGGGGGCTTCACTTACTTTCAAAGACAAATTTGGCTGACTGTAGGTTTGACAAGCAACCATGTAGTCTGTTCTACTTCTTGTTACTCTAAAGAAAAAACAGCAAGGAATGATAATAGTGTGCACAAAAAGAATGTGAACACCAGAGTAATTGGTGGTCTCTAAATTTTTTTATGTTTATTTTAAGCATCAAAGTAAAATTAGATCAGTGTTTGCACTACTGTTTTTACAACAGTCATACAAACTCCACAACACTAGTGCAATATTGTGATGAAATGTGCATTCATCACAATATTACATCACAATACACATTTTTGGCACATTTCTTATCACGATGACACAACCAGTGGGGGTTGAGATTTAGTATCTTGAACATAAAGATTTAACATCACATGTGCTCATATAAGACAATAAAAGTGCATTCAGATGGCCAGTAATATTCTTGGTTAGTGAAGCATATAATGTTTTGAACTATATTAACCTTCCAAACATGCATTAAAATAGTCCTCTGTGACATATCAGCAAATTGCAATTATGTATTTTGTGCAGCATAATTTTTTAAAATCAAGTTCAAGACATCTTTAGAAATTTATTCAAACCACGTTTGACAAGTACTGTACTCAAAACAGAGCATGACATTTTTTTTTTTTGTCCCAAGCATTCAACGTCACTACTTCTAATGTTTCACTCTGATATGAGAATATAGAAGTTTAACTGCTAGCTCTTAAATCTGGCACACTGGTCGGCTCTCCCTATGTGCTCTTTATGTTTTGCTAGAGTAAAAAAAAAAAAAAACTGTTGCTGCTCAGTTTGACGTTCAGGTTTGCACGGTCTCCAAAGCTTGTGCAACATTGAGCAATCGGACTCGCACATGCTCTGATGCAAGCTATAAAACTGTGAGAGTTGAACTGAGCTTGTGTGCTTGGCCTCCATCCGCTCAGTTGCAAGTAAGACTACGGCCTTGTCTCCTCTCTGTAATGCTAGTCATCTGATCAGGCACAGAGAGTTCAGCATTGTCCGTCCACTTGTGAGGGCCATTGTTGCCTTGCAGTGAGGTTGCCTCTTTCTGTATGTATCTGTTTATGTACAGTGCTTTAGACAAATACACCATCAAGTATTTGTTGAGATTTTGTGCATTAGTACTTATTTTTTTCTCACCCTTTTAATATATGCTTCCTACTACTTCTCAGTGTCACCGTAAAGCAAATCAGATATATAAATATAGAGTCAGTTATTTTCTGGGCAGACTGTAAGTATTTACTGCTGTGATGACGCCTCAATAAGCATATCCTACCTTTCTGTTTATTGGCCTCTTTGTGTGCTTGCAACCAGCAGCACAGCACTACAGCTATTTGCATGAAAACGTTTGAGGGAGATAAGTTTACAGAGTTATTGGCTCAACAGAAGTCTTGACTGCACCAGCAACTCTTAGATAAGAGCAACATCTGTTGATTAGCGAGGTGTTGTTGGTGTGTAGCCCACCTCATTGTCCTTTTAGCCTGCCATCTGGCTGGCTGTTGGTGGTTGGAGGAATCTAAACTGTGCCTCATATCTGGAATCAATACGAGATCCTTTCAGGATGTCTAAGTGGAGATGACTTCCTCATTTTGACTGTAATTTTCCCAGATCTCATTAAAATGCAACCTCAGCTCCTCGCAAAAGCATTGGTTTAATGTTTGTTGGATTGAAGACGGGTTGGTTGAGAACAGTGGCTACTAAATGACTGAGCTTAGACAGATTTCTGAACTTAAACAGAGTGATGCTTGACTTGATTTGGTGTACAGCTTTTTTGTTACTCAAAATGAAATAGTTATTTGACTTTCAGGAGATAATTTAATGATTAGGTAACATTCAGGACTATCAAAATATGTTTGAACTATTGATTTCAGTCTTATGAGACAATTATTTCAAAAATAGCGGCGAAACAAGCATGTCACTCATACAATGCTAGAAGTTTCTGTAGGTAAATTTATTGTAATTGCACTCAGTTGATACCAATTAAAAAACACATTTAGGTTAAATTCAAGTTTTTTTTTTTCTAGTGGTATGTGAAAGACACTGTTCAGCTCTCAGCTGGACAAGGTCCAAACTTGCTGACAATGGTAATACTCTTTTATAGGCACTCATCTCAAATTTATGAGCCTTTTCTTTGTCTTTTGATTGCCCTGTGTTACCTACTCGATCAGACCCCCCACATTGATTTATGGTTGGAAAGATTCATGAATATAAATTGACTTACCATGAAAGATAAAATACTTATCTTCATGATGGATCTCTTTGTCTTCTGTCATGTGATGTATTCCATAAATTTGATTATGATACTTCTTAATGGAAAGAACCACTTTAGCATAAGAACTGAAGCTGTTTTGTCTAGTTATTAAAAGCAGCAAGATATTTGTTTGAGCTGCAAACCTTATGATAAATAAATTGCTATGGGAGTTACTCATTTTTAAATTTTGGATGCTTTTGGTGATTTGATCAATTTAGGAAAATCCTGTTTTTCTTTGCTTTGTGTAGCTGGTACATATTATAATACTGTGTCAAGATCCAACACTTTCCCAATAATCAGATAGGCTCCCAATGATAATAGACTTGCATGTCATGAATTGTTGCTCTTCATTTTCTTTTAGTGGTATGGACAGAGTGAATGCTTGTCATACAAAGTTAATGTTGCTGTAATGTAAATGTCTTCTCTTCCCATGTGTCCTGTCAGAACATTCCATTTTGCAAACACATGTGGGCAGTAGGTAAAGTTTTGCCTTTCACTTTCAGTCAAAAGCATCCTGAGGTGAGTGAATCATCTGAACAGAGTAGAAAGAAGTAATGGGATGTTATTGATCCTTTCTGGGATATTTGTGTTCCAGCTTTGGCAGTTCTGGAGCAGTGGAGGTCATGGGGGGTATAGATGAGTTATTTGACACTAAAATGGTGACATTTTCTAACGTTTCCAAAACATCAGTGGTAATGTGGTGAATCTGCTGATCAGATTGTCTATGTATTTTTCTGTTGCGGGATGTCTTCCTGTTGCATTGAAATGAAAGGAAGATGAACAGCAGTTTGATGAGGGTAATCGAGCTACATTTTCAAGCAGCATGTTGCTCTTCATTTTGGTGTCAAGTTGGTGTCCTTGTGTGTGTGTGTTGTTCCTCTGCCTTCACAACACCAAAATAGTCAGTTTTGTAGGCTTTTCCCCAGGATTGACCACACTGACCCACAAAACTGGTGGAGTCTCTCCTCTCTAGACTTTCAATATCCTTACCGCAAGTGACTTTGTTTGCCAACATGCTGCCAGGGGGATGTCATGATCAGTGGCATTTCGAGTACCAAGGTCATATATGCCAGTTTTCTTCCCTCTCTGGGTATGGAACAATGAGTCAAAGATGATTCATGTGAAATTTTGCTCCCTAAGAGTAAAAGGCCATGTCATAACCTTTTCCTCTTGATGTTTACAGTTCTCATTCAAAGAAGCAGCTCCGCAGCAGCTGCCCAAACAGTCCCACTGAGCTGAATGCTTCCACTGTTTGGGCAGCTTGACACTTGGTTTTGGACACGGCATCTATCATTCACTTTTCTTTCCATGTTTGAAACTCCTTTGCTCAGTTCTATGTAACGTTTAGTCACGTTCACCAGTAAACTACTACCGCTCAGTGTGTTGGCCTTGGCAGTTGTGATTGCGGACTGGAACTCCGCCGCACATCTTGTTTTTGGTGCAGTCCAGCTTTTGAGGAAGAGTGGATCCCGTTAACCATCAAAACTGCCCTCTGCCTTCAGAGGTGTCATGGTAGGCTGGTTTATATTTGCTTTCCGTTGCATCTCTGCCTCACCACCTCTAGGCCACACATCTGGTCTTCAGGCTGACACTAGCAGAGCCCAAGCATTTCCTACCGGTTACTCAGCCTCCCAGGAGAACTAAAGGGAAAGAGAAAGAGAGCAAAAGAGTAGACTGTGGAAAGCAAGAGCGGAAGTAAGCCACAAAATGAACACATCAGGGCATCTTTCCCTCTTTTCCTTTACGCTCTGCTCTAGTCTGGGGTGATTCATCCTCTGCTCATCCAAAAAGGAGATTTTTTTTGCATCTTTTTAAAAAAATTTTGTAAAGGCTCTACATCGCACGCTATCTTTGTTCCTCATCCCACAGCACATTAAGTCTGTTGGACATGTTTTGTGAGGGCTGGCTCAAAAAAATCACTGTATTATTGATGATGTACTCTGTTTATATACTGAAATTCCAGCTTGGCTGTCCCTGATGTTATTCATTTTGATTTGTTGTTTTTGGTTGCTCTATCAAGTTCTGTTCTCTGTGGCTGTGGGCTTGACTCAATCATCTTACTGTATGGCAACAAGCAGGAGAAGAGGATTACAGTCTATCTTCCATTCATAAGTCACTTACTAACAGTGTTCAGTTGTCCTTGCTTATCTGGTTTGCCATTTACAATACCACCTTTTAGTTAAACATTAGTGAAATGTCATTATCTATTTCCTAATCATTTCCTCATTTGCCCCAGAAACCATTAGTCTTTAAAAGTATATGAAGATTCAATACCAGCTTCTAAAACTGCAATATATGTTTACGTTGTTATTTTTGAAGGACCCAAAATGAAGCAGTAGAAGGTTTTTGTGGTGAAATAGCTAAACTTAGGAGAGTTTGCCCAGTAGTAAAGTGTGGTGTGTGAACTGTGAGGGGCCCAGATCTGACCTGGATAATGTTTCAGGTAGGCCTGGGTTGTGCCGTGGCAGCCGCAGGAGCTGGCTCAAGGCTGTGGTTTGCAGAGACAACAAGTCAGGCCATGGGGACACACAGCATTGCCTTGCACACCGGGGAATCGGTCCAAACTACACTGGCTGGCTCTGATGTCTGATGGGGTTTTCCAAGGTCAGGTTGAAACTACAGGAGCTGAATCACTGTGAATAGAAAGATCCTCTCCTATATTCTGCTGAGTGAAGGAGAAGATAGAACAATGTATTTCATTGTTCAAACAATAAAATATGTATACATTTTTTATGTTTGGCAGTATAATGCTGTTTAGACAGATGACCTGCCAAATTTAGAGTTCAATTAGCATTGACTTCTCAGAATGAGTTTATGGAGTTTAGAATAAATGGCCTCCTTTCTGATATTTGGCCTGTGATGCAGAGCTTGATTTCACTTATTAGAGTACCAGTAAGTTCAATAAGTGCTGTTAATATAGAGACGATTCAGGGGTCTCTTAAAAACATTAAGGCATTTGTTTCTGTTACATTCTTTTGACAGAGGTTATTTTTAGCTAAATGTTCCGAGAGAAATGGCCAGTCTGAATTAAAGCATTCTGGGGTGTGAAGATTGGGGAGCATGCAATCGTAGCACAAAAGACCCCTCTGTTCTTAGCTCTTACACTAAATTAGCCTGTTTTGCATGCCATATTTCTCTTCACAAGCATACCACTTGGAAGTGTAAGCCAAGCATTACAGGAGCAGTGGAGCTACGTGCTTAGATTGCCAGGAACAACTGCGTGAGCTGCTGTAGCATGGACTCTGAAGGCAAACCACTTAGGGATCTGTCCAACATGTGAATAGTTCCAAGTACAGACTATGACTTCTATTGCATGATATATTTACATGGGTTTTTTTCTCTCTTCTTTTTACAGACTCCAACTGAGGTGACCGTTTCTCAGCCTACTTGTGCAACCAATGGAACAAATGGGTAAGAAAAGGGAAACAATTCCTTCCAAAAAAATTTCAGAAGTAATAGTTTCCTCTTTTTGCTTGTATACTTCCCCTGAACTACTCGGGGGATTTCAACATTTATCCAGAGCTTGGCCCATTTGTCAGTACTTCATTTTTCACTTCCTCCACTGCATTTCATGAGGTATATTTATGATATAGATAAATTTGTCACTTGTGTGTCAATTTGATTCTACACAATAATGATTTAGCTTTGTTTTTTCAGACTTCCATATTCATAAAGTCAATCACCTTAAGAATTGAAAGACTATAGGCCCAAAGACTATAAAGGTACTTTGTACCTTTAAAGGTAGTGCTAGATTTCCAGAGGTTGTGCTAGATTTCTTGATCTGATATTTTGACTATGTTTTGCATGCCAAAACATAAAATCATATTAATTCTGACAATATATTTTTACTTGTCAATTTTTAAAGTTATAATAATAACATTCAATAATATTTAATCTCCATTCACTTTAATTCATATTCTATCCAAATAAGCTGAACAAAAAGTCCACATTGTGCTGTCACACTTCCAGTAGATGAATACATGGAAAGCTTTCTCTGTAGTGACAAAAATTACTGACTGTGGCTCAAATAATTACACATAAACAATGGAATTAAATGATTCCACTTAAAATACGAAAGCTTTGCCTGCTGTGGCCTGAACGCAGTCTCAAAACTTCAACCTGGTCTGCATGGAGCTGAATTATATGCCTGCTTGTGTGTGATCAAGAGGGGTCTTTCTGCAGAGGGCTTGTTGTCATGAGGTCTTGAACTTTTGCCTTGGACTGATGATTTCTCATGGGGGGTTTTGATGTTGTTTTGAAGTTTGAATCTGCACTCTGCTGCCACACTGAAGACTGAATTACAAGCTGCACCCCAGCCAACGTTTTAACATCAGGGAATATGTCTCCAATTGAACCGATTAAAGATGGAAAATATTTGGTTAACGTGACCTCTGCATTCATCTAACAAATAACTCTGTCCCTTAAAAAATAGTTTATTCCTTGTGACCTTTCTTACATATCGGGTTCTAATGTGAAGTGCATGAAAGAAATCCACAATACAACCGAGGTAGGAAGACCTATTAAGTATTATTATATTCCACGAATAAAAAGCAATGGTTGAACAAAGCCATAAGGAGTCCATTTTATCATATGTGGAGGACTAGGCAAACATATGGACCAGGATGCTCTGGTGAGATGAGACAACAGACTTTCTGACTAGTGTGAAGAAAAGCAAAAGTTACACTGAGGTTCACCTGCCAGGAGGGCACAAACAAATGGTTCAGGGAATACAAAAGCATATTAAAATGTTAGAATTGTTCAGTCAGATTCGAAATCCAAAATACTAGCAAAATGTATTGAATTTTGTGATGGTATCAAGATAAAGCTTGATACAAATTTTTTGACAACACTAGCTGTGAAAAAGAGCAATTCATGGATGACTTGAGGGACATATTTTTTGTCTGTGGTCTCGGACAGTGATGTACTTGACTTTTGCGCTTCTGCATCTCTGGCATCATGCCCTTATCCCTGCTCCATCTTCCACATTTAGTCCCCACTGTACATCCGCTGACTTACTGGCAATGAGTCATTGAGCCTGACGTGTAAAACTATCACACGCCACAAATGAACAGACAGGGGTCTGCAACGACTCCCAACAAAAATCGGGCCGCCTCAGGAAATGGCTTGGTGGAAACATTTAGCCGGAGTCAGACAGGACATGCTGTGTATCAAGGCTTGAAGAGAAAAAACATGTGAAAAGAAAAAGAAAAGTGAAGATGATGTGACTCAGTCCAGTCCCATTAGCACTCCCTGTGGAGGAGTGGCTTGGATGTGTGTCATTTCTAGAGTATCCCTAGAGTATAGTGGCAGTGGCCTTGGGCAAAAGCATAATTAACTGGTTTTGAAGGGAGTGTGTTAAAAGCCTGGCTATAATGATCACACCTAGTGGAGTGGAGAGGTTAGAGAACGTATCACTTGGTCATTACCTGACCAAAAGGAGAACACACCCAGACGTTCAGCTGCATGAAGGAAGTGTCAAGTAAAGCCATGATAGGCCTGAACTTTGTAATGAAACAAGTGGTGCCACATTCATTTATTTTAGTCCTGTTTGACAGGCAGGGCAGGGTATAGTTTTACTTTTGTAAAACTAATCATGGGTGACACGTAAAAGGTGGGGATATTATATTGAAAATAACTCGATTTGACTTACAAACTGATATTGTTCTTTGTTGTAGAATAAAACGCATCAAAAATTAGTTTGATATACTCAACAAATTATGTTGGTACATGAACAAGTCATGTAAAATCTCCTGGTTTGTTTTTACATCAGCGACAAAATCCCAAATATGAGCATGAGCATCTCTACATTAATAATAGAATGTTATCCTTTTAGATTTTTTAATAGGTTTTATTGCTGCAGCTAATCCTTGTTATCATAGGTTAGTGTTCTATTTTTGTCTGACCAGAGCTACTTTAAATAACAGGCCTTATCAAAGAATGTTTATCACAACTTCTAACATGTTGACTGTGACAATATTTGCCCTAATCCAAAAAGGTTGAATTTATTTTCAAATCAGTCCTTTTGTACAGTGCCAATCCCCTACAAAGGTCAAGACACAAATCCAGTTCATGTTTTGTTATCTGTAACATAATTTAGTCTAAATTAATAGGATGTAATAGAAATCCATGTTAAACAAGTTCAAACAAGTCTTGTCCATTTCAATTTATTCAACTCGCTAACTATTTCAGTACAGATTTGTTTAATTTAATTGAGATCAATGCATTTTATTTCAATTTAGTCCAGCCCTACCTCTTCTTAAGCCAGCCCAAACCATCACGGTCAAGTCCAATTCGGTTCTGTCCAATCCTAATTCCAATTCATTCTAACAGCTTAGTCAAATCCCAAATTAGCCTAGTCCAAACCTGCTCAGGTAAACTCACTTTTCAACCAGTCAACTTCAGTCGAGATCAGTCCTGCCAAAACATTATATTCCTGATAACTCCAGGCACATCTAGTCCAACTCCATCCAAACCAACACTGTCTGTTTCAACTAATTATAGTTGGAACAGACAGTTAGCAAAAATTGTCTAAGGAAACCAGCAGACATTTTTATATATATGAATGGAAACGAAACACTACGAGCAGAATCTGATCATGGAAATTCTGTTTTTCTTTTTCCATCTTCTTTGTGTTTTGTTCTGAAATGGCAAACAAACTGAAATGGTGTGCTCACAGAGAGCTTTTTTAAAGTTTGGGTGATTGTCTTGTTCTGGTAGCTGGTACACACTTTGTTTTTGGACTTTGCTCACATTCAGATTGTCTTTCACCATCACAACTTTTATTCTAACATCTACCACTTCACCTGCACCTTAATCTCAAGTTCCATCTCATGGCTTGGCAAAGGCAGAGTACTAACTGTACCCTGATGAAAAGTCTGAAGACTGTCTTGATTTTCTTGTTCGGTGTGCTATGGTTTGGTAGATGGTTTTAATTAGATGCCTCATAGTTTTTGCATAAAACAATTGTTTGCCTAGAAATTATAGTGTGAATTTCTAGTTTTTTTTTTTTTTTATGTACAACTTAATGTTGATCGTACTTATGGTATCTATAATATACAGAATAGAGGTTTTTATTTCCCTTCTCTAACGTAAAATCTATTGCTGACAGCACACACTTCTGGACTCACAAACTCAGACTTCCTGTCACACACCCCTCTGCCTCTGGTCTCAAAACATGACTTTTTTTTCTTTCTACCCTTCTCCCTTCTCTGCAGGGTCCAGAATTTCTTGGCAGTGGTCTTAAGTAAACAGTGTATTTTTAGCTGGGAGGTCGTATAGGCCCACTCTTAATCACCACATTCCCATTTTCCCACCAGCCCAGTTTCAGGCAGGGGCTTATTTGGCTAGCCCCTGCCCTGCTGAGGGAAGAGAAAGTGAATGGCTAGGGAAAGAGATGTATCTTTTCCAAGATAATGATTTTAATCCAAAACACACTGGATTAAGATAAATTTGTCTGGAGTTAGTCATTTATCCTTGACAGTGTTTTTTTCTAACACAGCAAATCTTCCTGATTACAATTTATTAGGATTTTATATGAGAGGCCAGCACAAAGTAGAACATAAATGTGAAGTGATAGAAAAAGCATCAATGGTTTTCAGATATTTTTTCAGAAATAAAAAACTCAAGAATAGGTTAAGTATTAATTTTCAGTCTCTTATATTGTGATACCTTGAAGTAAAATTCAGTTCAAGAAAGTTCTTTCAGAAATCACATAATGGATACATGTGTGTCGGTTTACAATGTCAGTATAAATTGACATTAAATATCTTCTGTGAAGCCCTGAAAGGTTTGCTGGAGAACAGTGGTGAACAAACAGCATCTTGAGGACCAAGGGATACAGCAAACAGACCTGGGATGATTTGAAATTCAAAGCAGAGACCTGTTAGAAACAATATAGCAATCCTTTAGCATCTGTAGGAACACTGTTCCGTCAGTCATCAAAAAACAGAGCATGACCCAGATGCAGGTTTTTCCAGGTATGGCCATTCACTTAAGTTTATAGGATGCCAAGGGGCCGATGGCAACTCTGGAGAAGCTTCAGAGATCCACAGATCAGATCAGAGAATTTGTTGACAGGACATGATTAGTATGGGCCCCAAATATCACGTGGAAGAAGCTGCTTTGGTTAGATAAGACCAAAACAAAACATTTGGCCTACTTGCCACATATGTTGTGTATGAAGCTAATAGAGTAAGTCATGTGAAGCACATGATCAGCATGATGTTGCTGGTCGCTGTTCTTCAATCAGGACAAGGAAGTGACATGGAGGGAAGATGGAACTAAACACAAAACAATCCTGGAATAAAGCTTGTTGGAAGCTGCAAATAACTAGAGATTGAGGCAAATGTTCACTGTCCAACAAGACAATAACCCTAAACAGATCAGACCTACAATCCTAAAAGGAAATGTAA